TTACACCACCACAATGGATTTGAAATGAACAAGATGTGCTTTAACTGCAGACTGTCAGCTTTAATTTGAGGGTATGTACATCCAAATCAGGTGAACGGTGTAGGAATTAAACAGTTTGCATATGTGCCTCCCACTTGTTAAGGGACCAAAAGTAATGGGACAGAATAATAATCATAAATCAAACTTTCACTTTTTAATACTTGGTTGCAAATCCTTTGCAGTCAATTACAGCCTGAAGTCTGGAATGCATAGACATCACCAGACGCTGGGTTTCATCCCTGGTGATGCTCTGCCAGGCCTCTACTGCAACGGTCTTCAGTTCCTGCTTGTTCTTGGGGCATTTTCCCTTCAGTTTTGTCTTTAGCAAGTGAAATGCATGCTCAATCGGATTCAGGTCAGGTGATTGACTTGGCCATTGCATAACATTCCACTTCTTTCCCTTAAAAAACTCTTTGGTTGCTTTTGCAGTATGCTTTGTGTCATTGTCCATCTGCACTGTGAAGTGGCGTCCAATGAGTTCTGAAGCATTTGGCTGAATATGAGCAGATAATATTGCCCGAAACACTTCAGAATTCATCCTGCTGCTTTTGTTAGCAGTCACATCATCATTAAATACAAGAGAACCAGTTCCATTGGCAGCCTTACATGCCCACGCCATGACACTACCACCACCATGCTTCACTGATGAGGTGGTATGCTTAGGATCATGAGCAGTTCCTTTCCTTCTCCATACTCTTCTCTTCCCATCACTCTGGTACAAGTTGATCTTGGTCTCATCTGTCCATAGATGTTCCAGAACTGTGAAGGCTTTTTTAGATGTCGTTTGGCAAACTCTAATCTGGCCTTCCTGTTTTTGAGGCTCACCAATGGTTTACATCTTGCAGTGAACCCTCTGTATTCACTCTGGTGAAGTCTTCTCTTGATTGTTGACTTTGACACACATACACCTACCTTCTGGAGAGTGTTCTTGATCTGGCCAACTGTTGTGAAGGGTGTTTTCTTCACCAGGGAAAAAATTCTTCGGTCATCCACCACAGTTGTTTTCTGTGGTCTTCCGGGTCTTTTGGTGTTGCTGAGCTCACTGGTGCGTTCCTTCTTTTTAAGAATGTTCCAAACAGTTGTTTTGGCCACGCCTAATGTTTTTGCTATCTCTCTGATGGGTTTGTTTTGTTTTTTCAGCCTAATGATGGCTTGCTTCACTGATAGTGACAGCTCTCATCTTGAGAGTTGACAGCAACAGATTCCAAATGAAAATAGCACACTTGAAATGAACTCTGGACCTTTTATCTGCTCATTGTAATTGGGATAATGAGGGAATAACACACACCTGGCCATGGAACAGCTGAGAAGCCAATTGTCCCATTACTTTTGGTCCCTTAACAAGTGGGAGGCACATATGCAAACTGTTGTAATTCCTACACCGTTCGCCTGATTTGGATGTAAATACCCTCAAATTAAAGCTGACAGTTTGCAGTTAAAGCATATCTTGTTTGTTTCATTTCAAATCCATTGTGGTGGTGTATAGAACCACAAATGTTAGAATTGTGTCGATGTCCCAATATTTATGGACCTGACTGTAAATGTGCTTAGTTTGGTTAGACAGTAAAGCCTGGAATAAATGGTGGACATCAGTGTGGGAGAGGTGGTTGATCATTTTGTGATAAGGTCCCTATATGCAATCATTGAGGTAAGCTAGGGTTTCTTTTGTACATAGCAAAAGAGTTCTGGGGAGGGGGGGGGGGGGGCTGGAATGTCGCCCTAATTTCTGGCCAACTAAGTTAAGCAGCCCTTGGTAAAAGAGTAAGTATATTTGAATTTGTGGAAGTTCCGCCAGTGGAAGACTCTGGGTGATTCTAGGCCAGGAGAGGATGAGGTTACCACAAAATGGTAGCAGGGGCAGGTGTGGTGAATGAAGCTTAGTGAAGTTTTCAGTGGTGTTCCATATTAAGGACTCATAGACTGGAATGGGAGCAAGGGAAGTGGCTGGGGGTCACTGAGGATTATTAAAATGTTTCCAGGTCTACCCACAGGGAGGCTTACCCAGATGGAGTAATTTGTATAGCTGTAACATATTTAGAGAGGTTGGAGACTCCAAACCCACCTTGGCATTTATGCATAAACTTGATGCATTTGGAAACTCTTGGTTTCTTGTTAGATCATGAACCTTATAACATATTTCTGAAAGTCTTTCAATGTGAAATATGGGACGGGTAGGAAGAGTGCAGAACAGGTAGAGAAGTTTTGGCAATGTAGTCCTTTTTTATAGCCGTAATTTTTCGGATAGATATATCTGGGATAGCTTGACGGGGGACCAGAAAGAGATGAGGATTTTAAGATGGAGAGTTAACCTCTTGCCGTCCGCCTGCTGTTTTATAAACGGCAGGGCGGTGGCAGTCCAGGGGCGGGTTGCCGTTCCTAAACGGCACCCGCCTTTTCTAGCTGTGCGCGCTCCCTGGGAGCGCGCACCACCGCGATCCGGTGCCCGCTGTGTCCTCCGGACACAGTGAAACACCGATCGTTGGACGGGACCTCTGTACGAGGTCCCGATCATGTGATCACTGATTGGCGAATCAGTGATCACATGCAAAGTAGTAAGCAAGATGTCACTTGTGACATCATTGCTTACTACGTGTGAAATCTGTGAAAGAGAAATGATTGCTTTTACATCCTATATGGGTGTAAAAGCAATCAGTGTAAAAAAAAAAAATCTTCATCACCCCCCACAAGTAGTACAGTGTCACCATGGTGACACTGTACTGCTAGGGTGACAGTATGTAAAATAAAAAATAATATAAAAATAATAAAATAGAAAATGTAAAAAAAATGTTTAAAAATTATAATTTTTGGTTATAAACTAATTTGGATTTTTTTTTTTTACTAAAAAAAAAATAACGGAATAAATTTTGGCCAAGATTTATGATGAAATATTATTTATTTGCAAAATTTTTTTAAAAAAAACATCTTTTTTTCAAAATTTTTGGACTTTTTCATTTACATAGTAAAAAAAATAAAAATCCCAGCGGTGAATAAATACCACCAAAATAAATCTTTATCTGTCTCAAAAAAATGGTAAAAAATTCATATGGGTACAGTGTTGCATGACCGTGCAATTGTCATTCAAAGTGTGATAGCGCTGAAAGCTGAAAATTGCCCTGGACAGGAAGGGGGTAAAAGTGTCCGGACAGGAAGTGGTTAAGATGTAATTTGTTGCATACAAAGTTTGGTATGAGTGGGCCAAGCGTATTCCCAGATAGGGAAGCCAATTAAAATTCAAGTCGCCATTCACAGTTCACCATGCATGTGGCTGTACACAAATTGCTGCATAAAAAAAATAGGTTTATTACTGTAAATGTTACTGATATTTTGCTGCCCGGTTTTAGTTATGTCCATAATGGAATCTCAGAGTAGTAGCATGAGCCCCTTCTCCTTAGCGCTCTAATCTAGGTTGAGCAATGAAGATGAATGCCACAATTTTAAATGCTGTAAGGAGGCGGCTCCTGAAAGTTCCCAGTGTCCTCACTGACACATATTTTTGCATAGTCCAGACATGAGCAACTACATTACACACATACATATATTTCTCTCTCTATAGAGAGTATCTCTCTCTATCTATATATATATATATATATATATATATATATATATATATATATATATATATATATATATATATATATAAAATCATATTTGGTATTGGCCTGTGTGGACTACAGGATGAACTGGTTAGTGGTCCCATTTCATCAAGGAGGGGGTAGCCACCTATATGCCCCTTCATGATAGGCAGGTTGAGTGCGCATAAGCCCCCTTTCTCCCAGTGCTTTGGAAAAAGTTCTGCGGTCTTGAAGGGAGGACTGCATGCCAATCTTTTTCCCTTGCTATAGGGATACCAGCCCTTATACCCAGTGTGTCTGTCTGGTTAGTGCTGGACACAGGGATCAAGCTGTTTGTTCAATATTTGTTTTTTTTTTTTTCTTTTTCTCTAATTTGATCAGCGGTGTCATTTGATTTGATACTCCTTCAATTGCACATCTTTTTGCAGTAAAAAATATATATATATATATATATATATATATATATATATATAATATTTATTATTTTTATTACATTTTTTTACTTTTTCCTTGGAGCATGTAAAGCATTGCACCTGTGAACAGCAGATCGTGGGTGCCATGCAGGACTCCTGCAGACTTGTCAGTGTATCTGTCTGCTTATACCTGATATGGGCACACAGATACACACTTGCAGGAAGAGACCGTGAACTACCAGAGCACTCCAACAGCGCCATGGTAGTTCATTGAGAACTACAAGCCGAAAGCCACAAAGACTTTTCGGTACTTGTAGTTTCCCATTCACAGAAGTCTGAATGAATGATGCGGCTAGGTGGGTAGAGCACTTTTTTTATTTTTTTTTTATTTAAATGATGGCTAACGGGGGGGAGAAGATCCCGTGATTGCTGTCACTAGAGGCATTGAAGCGGGCAGCTGCTGCAGGAGTGGGAACATGTTACATGTTCCATCCTAAATACTAGTGGAACATGTAACATGCTCCCAAAGGTGAACCTATCCTTTAAGTTAGGAGTCCTAGTGTTGAAACTGTGTAAAAACAACTCAACGAGTATTATGCATCGCTCACACTTGCATATTTGCCAGTTGTCTTTAAAGCTGTTTGATAGTTTGCTGCGTCTCTGACATTCAATGACAATAACCAGTTGCCACATTAGCATGGTGCACATTCCTCCTATTATAAATATAATAAATGCGCCTGTGGTACAACTGGCAAATGTTGCCCAATGACACTTGGGCTAATCAAACTAAAAGACTTATTGGGAACCTTTTTCAGTGAACCCTTTAAAAATAAACCTAGTATGTGTACTTGGGGTTGTTGTTTATTAACACCATATAGCAAGTATTTGCATAATGCAGACAACCTTATTAAAACAGTTGTTTTTGTGGCCATTTCATACATCTGATTTAATCTTCTCTGTGTTTTCTCTTAAGCAGGGTATCGCTTGACGGACCAATTTTATGATATTCTCATTCGCAAATTTGACAGGCAGAAAAGAGGTCAAGTTGCCTTTGATGATTTCATTCAGTGCTGCACTGTCCTGCAGGTGAGTTGCATTGAAATGTTGGTAGATCAACTTCTGTATAACCACAGTGTCCATACATGGATTGAAATTTGGCTGGTTCCTGGTGAAGTAGTATGACCAGCTTAACCATTCTTAAAAATGTTACCTCACCTCTCCTACCTATCCTACTTGTATAAAACGGATGTATACACTTGCATATTTTCTTTCTAGATGGTCATGTGACCTCGTAGCTCTGGCTCCCCTGTGTCAGTAAGCATCTGCTGCAGGGGAGAGTGCCAACAGCAGCTGTGCCATGGGAGCATATAGATGTCACAATCTCAGTTGTCAAGGATTCCCTGAGCCGGAGCTGTAGGATCATGTGACTGGACTGGAGTAGGTTATACTCCCAAACAATGTTAGTAGGAACTTTTCAATCACTTTACAGTATGTGGTTGCCATCGTGCAGTCCCATCAAATATGTCTAGAAGTGCCAGCCTCCTGGCAGTTCCTAATACAGTCTTGTGAGTGGAAAGGGAAGCCCTTATTTAGTCCTGACATGCGTATAATACCATAGACTTACAGTATGAGTTTATATACCTTTTTTATTATGGTCTCAGAACAAAGAATACTTATTATTAGTGCTCTTTGCTAACCATCAGCCCTAGTTAGGATTCATGGCCTGCTCTCATCGTCATTTTACTTTCTGTAATGGAACAAAACAGGGATGCTTAATCTCCAATATTTCATTAGAACCATTTCTAAACACAGATTAAAGTGCGATATACATTTCATATGTATTCATCATCAGGAGTACAAGCTTGCAGCTTATGCTTATAATAGTCTATTTTTTTTTTTTAATATTCAACAGGTGTCTATATCTATTCCTAACCTGCTTAACCAGTTCCCACCCACCCACAGTACATTTGCTGTGGACAAGCGACATACCCATACGTCATTTATCACATGCACACTAGTGTGTCCCCCTGGGGCACGCAGTGTGAGCACACTGCTCTCGCTGTGTTCACCGGACACAGGTGATCGCGGTAACCAGCCGCTTTGAGCGACCAGGATGCTATGTGATAGCTATGTGATGCACATGATCTCATTGTCAACACATAAATGAGCAAATAAAGTGACTAAAACGGAAGTGAAACGCATATGATTAAGCTCTAACATGAACAATATTCAATAAAGTGTCTCGCCAAGCAATAGCGAGAATGGTGATTATAAATATATATAAAAGTGACAATAGTGAATAGTCCAGCATAAATATAATGCAAGAAAAATAATAAAAGTCCAAATCAAAAGCATCATCACACGAGGGCAGGGACTTGATGCATGATCATTAGGTGAAATTAAGAGAATCAAAAAAAAAAAAAAAGAAAACGAATGCATCCACAACATCTAAGGACTGGTAAGCTGCAAAGTATTAAATGTTTGTTTTTAGGTTTTATATATGCTTTAAGTTCTTAATAGTCTTAGGAACATGCATTTTCTGGAGGTATTGTCATAAATGTGACCATGACCAATTTTATTCTTTTCCTTTTCAGAGATTGACGGAAGTTTTTCGACGCTACGATACAGATCAGGATGGCTGGATACAAGTTTCATATGAGCATTATCTTTCCATGGTTTTTAATGTAGTATGATGCAACAAAAAACATTACTTGGACCAGCATAGACTGAAAATAACAAATACTATACATTAATTTACTGGATTATAGTGCCCACTGTGGTGCTATGCATTTGTATGGCTTCTAGATTTTATAGAGTATCATCAAAAACCTTAAATTGTATATAAGAATTTATTTTTACAGTTTAGCAATACCAATCTAGCCATATTTTCGTTCCTTCAGCTTGGAGTGTAAAATAACACCATAAAGTGAAACTCCAGTCTAGGGATAGAACCCTTGTAAGGTTTTTACTGTGATCTGTGACTCCATTAGAATAGGATATGCTGTGAAATGTCTCCATTGGGGACAAGTAAGAACCTCTGCTAGGTGATTATTCCTATAAAGTTAAGTAAGCTGAAAGGATACGATCACCTTTTTAACAAAAATAATAAATGCACATTCTGTTGCAGGTAAAAAATGTGCATTTATTATTTTTGGCTGCAGGAGCCTGTAAACCATTGCATTAGCGATCAGCAACTCTCCTGCAGACCTGTCAGATACTGACAGGAAGAATCAATTAACTACAACGGCGCTCCACAGCACCCTGGTTGTTCATTGAGAACTACATGCTGACAGCCGCTAAGCCTGTCAGGGCTTGTTTTTCATTCATTCACAAAACTCTTTGAATGATGTGGCCGTGTGGGCAGAGCCCTGCACGGCCACGCTCTATTCAAAAAGTGACAGCTACTACAGGGAACATCTCCCAATACTGCTATCACAGGGAGGGAGATGGTTCGGGCGGTGGCTGCAGCATTGGGAACACATTACATGTTCCACCCTAAAAACGGGTGTAACATGTAACATGCTTTCAAAGGTGAACTTATCCTTTAAGAGGTTTAGGCAGAATGCCATCCATGTAGTAATGTTCTTCGTTTTTGTGCCAAGAAAAAGTAAAGTCTTACAGTCAATTGGACCAACTTACATACAGTATAAGTTATAACCATGTAATACATTTACAACTCATGTCTTATATAATGTATAATATTACCAAAAAGCTAAACATTGCACTTAAGATTCAAACCATGCAATTTTCTTTTAAAACATGTGGATTGACCATTTTCCATGAATGTTTATGTAAAAACAACTTGCTGCACACAAGTCCAAACTCTTTCTCCTGAACAGGTGTTTATAATAGTCATACAGTATGTAAGGGAAGGTTTTTACTTTGATAATAATACTGATAAACTTGAGCCTCCTCGTCAGAGGCCCACATTAGGTGCCACATTTTCTATATCAAACCCCCAAGACCATTCTTAGAGGAGAACATAATTGTCTTCGGGAATAAAAAAAACCCTACTAAAGTGTTCCAATTTGATTGTTGTTATGGTCTTCACTTGCAGGGGAGTCCCTTGCACTGCAGATAAAATCAATCACGGGGGAATAGCGACATTGTTATTGGATATAAATTTCCATCTTATTGGAGCAGGATGTTGAGAAGCCCACTTCCACACCAAAACTTGGGAATTATCAAGTCAAATAGTGCACATGAATGGAATAGCTGAAATCTATGAATCTCTATCCTTTTTTTAAAGCGGTAGTAAGCTGCATTAAAGAAAAGAAAATTAAAAATCATACGCTGCAAGGTAAAGGTGTAATGTGCTGCATACTAGCACATTATGAAGGACTTACATTGAAACGAAGCTCTCCAGCGGAGCGCTCTCACTGCTTCCCGGGGCTTCCATCTTCACCCGGTCTTTCTTCTGGGTTCGCAAGCTCTGGGTATGCTGTTCCTTCAGAGCGCATGCATCGGCTATAAGAAAGGGCTAATATCTCCTAAACGGTTCACGTTTAATAGATATTATTTTGCCTACAGGTATGCTTTATTATAAGCGTACCTGTAGGTAAAATTATTAAAGAAGTTTACTACTACTCTAAATCACTGTGTACAGTTCATCCATAGCATGTTTATACCTGCCTGCTTAAAGGATAAGTTCACCTTTTAAAAAAATATATATAAATGCACTTTTTTTTTTTGCAGGTAAAAACATGCATTATTTTTGTCCAAAGGAACTTGGAAAGGGATTGCACCACCGATCAGTAGATTGTTGTTGCCATGCAGGTCTCTTGCAGACCTGTCAGAATATCTGCTTGCCGTACGGTCAAGCAGATATAGTGACAGGAAGCTTCATTGAACTACCACGGCTCTCCACAGTGCCGTGGTAGTTCACTGAAAACTACAAGCCAACAGTCTACAAGGCTGCCGGGACTTGTAGACACTCATTCACAGAACTCTGACGTGGTCATGTGGGTGGAGCTCCACACGGCCGTGCTGTTATCAAATCGGACAGGTAGTACGGGGAAATTTCTCCCCGTACTGTCTGTCAGAGAAAGGGTAGTTGCGGGTGCTGCTGCAGCTATGGGAACATGCTACATGTGCCACCCTAAAGGATGGAACATGTAACGTGTTCCCAAAGGTGAACTTATCCTTTTAAGTAATATTAAAGACTTTGTTATTTAAAAGAAAAAAAAAGTCATACTTACCTGCTCTGTGCAATTGTTGTGCACAGAGCAGCCTCGATCCTCCTGTTCTCGGGTGCCTCACTGGCGCTCCTGGCCCCAAACCGCTTGCTATGGGGGGCACCTGAGCAGGCTTGCTCCCGCTGCTCTCTGTGTGTCCATTCACATATGGAGCATGGCTCGGCCCTGCCCCTGGCTCACTGGCTGTGATTGACAAATGCAAGAGCCATTGGCTACCGATGATGTGTCAGCCAATGAGGCAAGAGGAACCCGGAACAACTGAGGCTCTCGTGTACATCGCTGGATTGGGATGAGGCTCAGGTAAGTTTTAGGAAGAGCTGGGGGACACTGCTGAACACAAGGTTTTTTTTACCTTCATGCATAGAATGCATGAAGGTAAAAAGCCTTGAGCCTTTACAACCAGCTTTTTAAGGGATAAAATAAAAGAAAAGCTATTTTTTTGTTATGACTACATGGGCAAGATATTGCCTGAACTTCTCTTCCCTTGATATATTTCCATTCACCAGGGCACTATTTAACTTTTTTGTGCCTTTCAAACCTTGGAAATGCCTATGGACAGACTGTTGTGTTTTTTGTTTTTTTTTTTTTTGGTTATTATTACTATCGGTGTCCTCTGCAATCCTGGTAACCTCATCTTGTGTTCTGCTACCACAAGAAAAGAGTGAGGTGGAGTGACACCATAGGGTCACTGATTGCAATAAAAACTTACTTAATGGAAACTTAATCCATTACTCCAAAGAGAGAAAACTTTGACTGGAGTTGGGTTTCACACTGACAGGACACAATTCAGCTTTATCGCCTGTTTAAATTATACCTTGTCATAAGATATTAGTTTTCCCAAGCTTAGCTTTCATTTTATATCTAAAACTGCATATAATTTTAAAACAATTTGAAAAAAACCATTCCTGCAGTTTTTCTAGTAGGTCCAGTGATGTCACAGGTCTTCCTCCTCAGCAGAGTGAGGGTCAGCCATTGCTCCTAGACTAAATAGCACTCATGTAACGAGCTCAGTCCTGGAGTCCTGTGAGCCCAGACTGCATGATGACACACCCCTGGGGGTTGGGGGCGACAGCAACAGGCTGGAATTACAGGAAATGAGCAGACTGACCTTCCTGCTGACAGCGGATTGGTATTACTGGATGGAGGCGGAAGCTGAAGACCGCACTGGAGCATGGAGAGGGTAACTGCAGCTTGGCACATTTTTTTATTTTTTTTTTTTTTATTTTTTTTTTTTTTCAAGAAGAGGGGTGGAAAATGAAATATGTACAAAAAAAAAAATTGAATTGAAGTTCCACTTTAAATCCTTGGTAACATCAAATTTTATATCCTACATTTAAATGTTAATATTAAAAAGTTAATTTATAAATGTCTTCACGTAAGATTCACACAACTTTAACCCATTTATTTCCAATCAAATCCAATAAGAGAATTCTGTGAATCTTGGACCTTAGTTGTATGATTCTTGGGTGGGAACTTTAACAGACCCCTAAGAGTTAAAAATTAGAGTATCTACGAAAATAGTTAAACACTTAGTTGGAATCATAAATGTATGAAGGTTTTCTAAAACATTAATAATGTATTTGTTTCAGATGCCTTAAAATTGAAAAAAGTCAGATGTGTTCTCCATCAAACTCTTGTTCATCTGTAACATTTCTTTGATGTTATTCACATAAGATTAAGCTTTGTGTCTTATGCTTCAGGATTCGTTGGTGTACAGAGAACAGGAACGTATATGTTGTGTATTGATTCTTTTATGTATTCTATGCATGGTTCCTTAAATATTCTTTCGCTTGGAAAAACATCTTTATTATAAACACTATGTGCCTCTTCAACTCTTCCAATTTATTGATGCCATACTTGTATTATACTTCACCTGACATCTGCAAATGTCTGGAAAACTTGTAATTGTATTGTATTCATCTCCAATTTGTTGTAAGATATATTGGTCTTTCAGCATAGGATAGGTTTAAATCTTCGATCTGAAGGTGCCTGCATATAGAAGGAAGAAATGTTCATTTGAACAAACTTTTCAGCAGACTGTTTTTTTCCTCCGAAATAAGTTGATGCCCGAATGCTTCTCTCCTCCCACTCCTTGGGTACAGACATACACGTTATTCTTCACGCAAATGTGCATGTTTGTACAGCCATCATCTCTGAAAAAAATGTTTGATGGGTGGAATGTGGCCAGCTGCTCTATAGTGTAACCATCCAGTACATTTACATTATACTTGGTAATGAGGTACCCATAGTGATCAACAGAGGCACAAACTGCATTATGTGGTCATAATGTGCAAGTGTATAGAAATGAATACAGGTTGTTCCATTGTATGCAAATTTGTAAACAAAAAAAAGTCAGCCACACTGTTTAACAATTGACCTAATTACTCAAACCCAACATCGGTACCTGTGTAACTCATTACAAAGTATGTGTGTTTTCTAAAACTCCGTTATATTGCAGCTAAATTTTATAGACATTTCTGCTTGTAGAATATACTTGT